CCTCTCCCCCAGCTCCCATGGAAAAGTGTCCAGACATGAATTCCTGACCATCACCAGTGGAATAGGCACCCTCTTGGGAGGGTTATGCAAACCCCACATCCAAACACAGAAGAATGGACACTAACCCAGGGACCCAGTGATGGCTGACCAGGGAGGCACATTTGCAATGGGGCAGGAAGACCTTGGGAGGACTCTGCCTTTGGCTTCCCCTTCCCTCTGCAGCAGGCAACTCCCAGATGCTGCAGAGGAGATGAGAGAATTCCTCCTAAGCACTGTTTCACTCTAAGAAGTTTTGTCATTTACCAAGTAAAATTATGTTAGTGGCAGAATAATAAACATAAATAGGGGAGTGAATGACCTTCTAGCAGCAGCTGAGGTAGGTGGTGTTTTGTTTCATTCCCTCCTTTGAGGGAATTATCCCACCAGCCTGCAGCCATCCTTCAAGAAAAGGACCTACAAGAACTGCTGCCTGTAGAGGCTTCCTATAGAGGAAGTCACATCTGATTTCCTATCAAAATGGATGCACAAGGACAAGCCCCTCATTTGAGGAGAGCTCAGTCTTAGGCAAATCCCAAACAAGGATGCAGCAAGATCTGTTGGATCAAGCACTGGCTGGACAGTCAGGCCCAAAGAGTCAATGGAGTCAAATCCAGCTGGTGGCCAGTCCCAAGTGGTGTTCCTCAGGGCTCAGTGTTGGGACCATTTCTGTTTCACATCTTTATTGATGATCTTGAGAAGGACATAGAGTGGATCATCAGTAAGTTTGCAGATGACACCAAGCTAGGCAGGAGGATTGATCTGCGTGAGGATAGGGAGGTTCTACAGAGAGACTTGGATAGATTAGATTGTTGGGCTGATGTTAATGGCCTGGGCTTCAACAAGGCCAAGTGCCAGGTCCTGCCCTTGGGCCACAACAACCCCAGGCAATGTTACAGGCTTGGGAAAGTGTGGCTGGAAAGTGTCTGGCAGAAAAGGACCTGGGGGCTCTAAGTGACAAGGGGCTGAATATGAGCCAGCAGTGTCCCCAGGTGGCCAAGAAAGCCAATGGCATCCTGGCTTGTATTAGAAATAGTGTGGCCAGCAGAAGTAGAGAGGTGATTGTCCCCCTGTACTCAGCACTGGTGAGGCCACACCTGGAGTGTTGTGTCCAGTTTTGGGCACCTCAATTCAAGGGAGATATCGAGGTGCTGGAGCAAGTACGGAGGAGGGCAACGAAGCTGGTGAAGGGCCTAGGGAATAAATCTTATGAAGAACACTTGAAGGAGCTGGGAATGTTAAGTTTGAGGAAGAGGAGGCTGAGGGGAGATGTCATCAGTCTCTATAACTACCTGAAAGGTTATTGTAGAGAAGTTGGTGCTGGTCTCTTCTCACAGGTAATTAGTGACAGAACAAGAAGGGATGGCTTCAAGCTGCAACTGGGTAGGTTTAGACTGGACATTAGGAAAAAACTATTTCACAGAAAGAGTGGTTAGACACTGGAATAGGCTGCCCAGGGAGGTGGTGGAGTCACCATCCCTGGATGTGTTTAAGGGTTGTTTGGATGTGGTGTTGGTGCAGATGGTTTAGGGCAGAACTGTGTAGAGTAGGGGTGATGGTTGGACTCAGTCATCCCAAGGGTCTTTTCCAACCTGAATAGTTCTATGATTCTATGAAGATAGAGCCAAGGAAACCCACACCACCATTGCCTTGCTGCTCAAGAAGGCTTTGGCACATCCAGAGTGCAGCAGGGGCCAGCCTGGAAGCTGAGAAAAAGCAGGTATCATCCCCTGTGCTGAAACAAAAGAGAGGACCTGGGATACCAGGCCTGCTCAAAGGGAAAGA